CCTTCGCCTCTCTTGCGCTTTCCAAGCCTCTCATCATTACCAGAAGGTAACGTTACCAGTCTATTGGAGACATGTCACATAACTACGAGGTAGAAAAATGTAAACAACTCACGAATCAGTCTGATTCTGGTCTATGTTGAGAAGGACCCGGGAGCCAAGGGTATGTGTCCGGTAGCATGGCCATGAGGGCTGAGACGGTGGACTCGTCCACCATATCCCGGAGTCCATGCGGGAACAAGTAGCTGTGTAGGATTTTGGTAGTTCGCACTCCCACTACATAGTGCTGGAAACTAACCTTCAAGTCGGCTCTCTTATAACCCTTGCGCCTCTTGTCCACGAGATGACAAGTCTGGATATGTTGCAATAATAGACTCGTGCAGGTCACTTCGTCATAGAAGCAGAAGTCACAGTAGACTCCAGTGGGAGGGCAATCGTCTCGTCGATATCTAATACATCCTCAGATAAACAGAGCATCGGCCATTTTGCATGGAAGATATAGAAGGAGTATATTGAGCAAATGATTCGAAACGGCCCATGACTGCGAGATATCATACCTTGCTTTAAATAGAGGCTGCGCTGTTGCTTTGGCTAGCTGACTTGTTGTTGACGCCATGAACTGTTGGTGCCAGGTTGCTGCCATCCGGAGCTGTATTTATACGATTCTGCTGCTTTGTCCCCTTTAGTTTATTATTCGTGGTTTCATGCTGCATTATTAGGATGAATCGGACAACTTCCTTTATCTGCACCTATAGCTGGACTCCATTGTAGTTGGTAACACCGATCACATAGCCATGCTTTCTTCTTTTGATTCCGCGAATGTGGTCAAGATGGGACGAAAAGTCAGCTTGAACAATCAAGATATTCAGAAGAGGGAGAGCGCCACGGCCGTCAATGAGTTAGGAGTTGTGACTTGTCCGCGAACGTATCTGATGGCATAGGCCGACGTCCCCGCCCCCGCCTCCGCCATCAAAGTCACTGCGCGCCACGGAATCGGTGATGGCGCATGTCACGTGGCACATTCTCCAATCTGCGTTCCCGTGGCGGCGCGGGTTGCTAATAAGAGGGCATCGTGGGCGATTGACGCAGAGGAGACGTGGATCGAGTCTTACTTAGCTGCAACCGTTAACCTCTGCTTTGCGTATACCGCTGAATGCTACTGATTCGTCTTTACTTTCTTCACTTCTGGGCTGAGTGATATCTCTGCTGCGGTCGCTTATGTCTTCTTGCATCGAAATCACTGTGGTCGACCGTCTGTTATTGACTGCTCTGATTATTTTATACGCCCTGGAGGCCGACAGGAGAAAAGGAAGCATCGATGTATCGCACCTGTGCGTTCGTTAAAATATAGGTCTTTGTTGAAGATCTCCGACGATCTTTGATTTACGCGTCTGGAAATCGAGCTCTACTCACAATCTACAGCAACTTGCCGATCAGTATAGGCTTGCCAGCGACTGCGGGACCACAGGATGAATCACTCAAATTTGTGAATTATGGTAAGCTGTCAATCGCCCTCGTACTATCGTCAATAACAGGCAATGCTTTGAATTTGTCAAATGCCCGAATAGATTCGATATTTCAGTAAATATAGGTTCGGAAAATAGCCAGCCTGTACTGTGGTCAAAAATCCCCACTATCGCCCCGGTCGGACACATTCGCTCTGTCCTAGAAAATATCTCGTCTGCCAGCAAGTAAACTCGATCGCTGAGACGACATAGATGAGTGAGTGAACTTGTGCACAGATCTGTGTCTTCTGCATGACCGCTTTCAAGGTGTTCCTCAGCGACATGGCTAATCACGACGACCTTGTCGCGTATCCTGGACGTTGCTCATATCGAATATGGAACGTCGAGGGGCCATATGCATACGCCTACGGTTCTGAAGTTGGGTTAGTTCAGGGCCTTGGGCGTATGGCCTAGCATCATTTCGCTGGGTGGAAATCGAGGAGCAGGTTGAGAATTGGCCATTCTCGTATTGGATTGTTGCAGCAATCCTCTTTCGCTATGGTGGCCTTTTCTGCTTGCGCAATGTATCATCTTCTGCCTATTCCCAATGTACGGTGATTCTGGGGGAGTTTCTATGTTACGTCTCAGGAGACTGGCTGGAGCAGGCTATTCGTCGTGTGCTTTAGAGGCGCCTCATGCCACTTCCCGGGCTAAAAGGCTCGATATTAGTGTCCTTGCAGACGTGCATTGTTGTTCATTATGGCGTACATGCGAAGATCCTGCTGGTTCGGGGTCTTCCACAATCCACCGGTGACCGTGTACGCTGGTTGTACTTGTGATATTCTTGCTCTGGAATTGTAGACGTCTTCGTTTTGTACCCGATCCCGATGCCACTCGCTCTTCTCTGGCGACGAGATGAACAGTAGCGACTGATTGGTAAGTTGTCAGTCTTTATCGATCGATGTCTGCTTACTTCAGAGTGGAATCAGCTGCAGTCCGGCCTGTGCGGAAAGAGAGAAGTTGCTTACTGGTTGGCAAGTTATCCACATATAACAATCCTCTCACTGGCCCTTGGCTCTCCCACGATGGCGATGACAGTGCTTTTCGTTGCGGCGTATGAGCTTGCAGATAGCACTTGTATTCAGCATCATGGTGATTATCCGAACGGGAACACGAGGTTGCTGTGGTTGTATGGCAAGATATTCGTGAGGAGTTTGGTGATGGAAGTCACACAGACATGGAGGAAACAAGTTTTCTTCACCTGTTGCAGCAGTGGAGAGAATTTGACGACTGTAGGACAGCTGGCGTTAAGTGGAATAACTGGCCAAGGAGATGCGAAGGGTAAGCTGGCATCCCTCATGTACGCGAAAGCGTGGTCTTAGAGATGTGACTGAGCCGATTGAGGGCAAGAAACGGAAACTGGTTCAATTCCTCGTCTCCGTCGTCGATCCCGCGGGGAGAATTCTACCCGAGTACGCGTTCTGTCGCCGAATCTTGCGACGTCGAAGTAGGCCAGTGATGAGACCCAAGGGAGTTTGGGCTCGCAGATTGAACCGATATCGCAGAAAGTAACGCTCGTCGCTCGGTGTGTTAGTCGTCCAAGACAGGTTCGTGGTGGCAAAATCACTTGAAAGGTGCGTTGTCGCTGGCCGTAGTGGATCCCTATGCTGGAAGATCATCTAGCAGTGTGTGGAGAAACGAGTGGCGTCGAGTGGACTGGGTGTGAGCGACGGCCGATGGCAAGCCTTT